AGAGAGTAGGCAGAGTATATGTGCACTTTGACATTATATGAACCGTGTGTGTGTGTGTGTGTGTGTGTGTGTGCGCGCGCGCTTTGACTCTGTGATCAAGTCTGACATATGGAACTGGAGATGTGATGCTCAAACTGCAGTGTTTAGAAAAAAAAAATAAATCTGAAAAGGTATGAATGTTTTCCTTTTTCTTTTACATGTTTTAGTTTTTGAAATACAAAAAAAAATTAATATATCAATAAAATTGCAAAAAAAAAAGGAGTGAGTTTAGATGTGTAATGTTAAATAATACTGGCAAATTTAAAAGAAAAAACATTTTGACATAAAAAGGATATTAAAATACAATCAAAAATTTGTTGTAATTTGACAAATATTTGCTTTTCATTTCATAGATGTGTGTGTGTGTTTGTTTTTACACATGTAAATGTACTTGATTAAAAATTAAAAGCCAAAAAATATTTTTATTATGTAATATAAAAGGAAGGCTACAAGATTTTAATGATTGAAAATTGTGTATTTTAATTTTTTTTGGCACCCCAGCTGTTTGGATTTTCTTTCTTTCTTTCTTTCTTTCTTTCTTTCTTTCTTTCTTTCTTTCTTTCTTTCTTTGTATGACTGAATCAAACTGAGATAATGACAATAAGCAATTTTACATCCCAGCTTCTAAATATATGTATATATATTTAAATTTTAACTATAAATTTTCAATATGTAATTGTGGCTTCTGTCTGAGCTAATACTGTCTGCGGTTGCTTGTAGAATAGATGCAGGGAGTAGTTACCCAACTAAATATTATTCTGGCCTCTCATATTACAGATGTTTTGTTGACTGAATGCAGCAAACATGCCAGGAGGCTCTTTGTCATTTCTAGAGCTGCCCTCCTTCACCTGTTGTCACATTCACCTCCACAACAAGACCCTTGATGTGTGGTTGCTTTTTCAAAAACCGACAAGTTCAAAGATTTTCAGACTTTTGTTGTGTGCACATAGAGTTAAAACAACCGTGACTGAAGGTTTGGTGTCATTTCAGGCCTCAAAGTGGTGTATCTGCCCATCAGCCATGCAGCTATGGGAGCACGGGACTTATCCAGAAGTGGACGGCGTCCTTCACAACCCAGGCAGCTCTCAGGTGAGTGAACGCGCTGCAGGTAGCAGACTTCACTGGTTGTCATCCTATACATGAGTAGATAACAGACAAGGACTGGGAAATTGGTTACTTTCTGTTTTTGCAAAGGAAAATATGTGTAACAGCTGGCATGACTCACAGGCCTTCTTGCACATTTGGGATAAAGTAGGCTGTTAGAAAAGGCTTTTTGTCTGAAGAAAAAACATCTTTTTAGATCCATGTTGGTTTGAAAACAAACTGATTAAAGGCTATAATTTGATACACTGTGGTATCATGCTGTCCCCCTTTTGTGTACTTATGTGCACCCGTCTGTTACTTTCATGATTCCCAAACTTGGATCCATCAGTACATAGTCAGTCCACTGTGAAATGGTCATGTGTCTTAGCCCACCCCAAGCGTTTGGCCTTGTTTCCCCTCCTGAGTAGTAGTTCAGAGAATACAACTCGTCCTCTGAGATCACGCCAGCCTTCTTTTGACAGAACGTCTGCAGATTGGAGTCTTGTGTTCTTTATTTGGCCAATTCTGTATCAAAGTTGTGCTTCTGTCTCTCACTGCTTAATGTATTGATCTTCTGATGGTGTGCTCACTTTGATTTGCCTGATCGTGCCTTGGATGCAGCTGATCCAGTTTCCACAAAGTGTTTTAGAGTGTCATCTTCTACCCTCTTAGAAACACGCAGTCTTGCCATGATTTGATGCTGAGAAAACCTCTCTTTGCCTCGAATAACAATTTGGCTTCTGACTCTTTCACTTAGTTCTGATTCCTTGTTTCCAAGTATCGCAATGCTGCTCAGTGAGAAACCGGCAACTTGAGGCACGGCCATGTTTATGACAGATGCACAATGACAGCAGGTTGATTTAGTTGAACAAGCCTCTGATGAGCAGATCAAATCCACATGAGTGCCGTCTAAATGTGGAAGTGATCTGACCTTTTGTGCAAAGAAATTAACATGGTCAATGACACGAATTTGCTTCAGTCTGATTGCTGACCTAGAAACAGCGCAGAATGCTACATTTTCCTTTTTCGTTTTACATGTCTTTACTTCTTGTCTTTTAAATGTTTCTTTATTCCTCAGAAAGTCTGATTATTTCCAGGTTTCCATGAAAATATGACAGATTTTGCAATGTGGTCTCAGGCTTTTGGACCCCACTGTAGTACAGTATAAAAATACTCATCATATAAGAAACAACCAAAGGAGCTTATTTGAAGCCTCGGCTCTCAACAAAAACATTTTAAAGCACACGCGGTTCACCGCTAAAGTCTTTACTTGTTTACTAAATTATAGCATGCGAGTGCTGCTGTTTAGTCGACATATTTAACCTTTCATTAAATGCGTGTGGTATGTCGACAATCAGAACCACGATATGTTCATGTTTGTACAGTGAGTAATATAATGTGATCCTTGCAAATGGCAAGTGGTGAAATCAAAGACGCAAAGTGAGACATCACCCTCGGATGAAGCTAATTAAAGGAGTGTATCGTGGAACGGTTTATTTAAACTGTTGCTTCGTTGGTCTTTTCCATGTGATCAGACTGAGTTGGTTCTAGCAGGTTCTATACAGACAATATACTGTTTTGTGTGTTTAACTCCCAATGTCCAAAATGCGACAGAAAATGCAGCTTTATTTTTCTGCTACACTATTTCAGAGGATTTTTTTAATAGTCTCTTCACTTTACTTAAATTATTTCACAGCTTTAGCGACTGGCAGTGGCGGAAAATAACTGTTTATTCAAGCACTGTACCTAAATACAGTCTCCAGGTATGTCTGTGAAGATTCTCAGTCACCCAGGTCATGGTTATCCTCTCAGGTGAAACGTCTTCAAGGAACTCAAGCAAGTCCAGTTGCTACGATTAATCTACCAGAAGTCTCTTGGTACTTTCAGTTTATTTGAGTATTTCCCCATTGATGCTACTTTATACGTCCACTCTACCATATTTCAGACGCAAACATCGCACTTTCTATTCCTTTACATTTATCCGTCAGCTGCCTTTAGGATGAACGTTTTATATAATGTCCAACATAACAGGATTTCAATCACAACACATTTTTAAAGATGAAACCAGTGTTTTTTTTGGTTTCTGATATCTTACAAAAAGCTTGGAGCAGTCAAGGTCACATTTCCAATGTGTATGAATTAATAATGGCTTCACCAAATAGTGATTTTTTTCCCCTCTAAATTTCTTATTTCAATAAATGTTTATATCTCACCAAAAATCAAAGATCGAGGAAAAAGTTCAAAAAGATTCTCACATTTATCTGCTGTCTCTGTGTATGAAACTGTACATGAAGTAGTTCAAAGTGGCTCCACCTCCACAACAGGAACCTGCTGCTGACACACTGATGCTTCACTATTGATAACAATAATGTCATATTCAATAATACATCAGTCAGGGAGACCAAACCAGTACTTTTACTTTCATACTTTAGCTACATTTTACTGCTTATGTGCTTTTCCTTAAGTAGGATTTGACTTGTCATGGGGTATTTTTACTTTGCTGTGTTTATACTTTTAGATAAGTATATGATCTGGATCATTCTTTCACCACTGGTTACCTTTCATATTAACATTCGATATACAGAAAACTCTACTATAACCAGCTATGACCCAGAAATACTATTTATTAACCCAGCGATATAAAATTACACCTTTAGCAGCCACCTTAGTAGACTTAGACTGACTTTATTTATCCATCCATCCATTATCTATACACCGCTTAATCCTCACTAGGGTCACAGGGGGCTGGAGTCTATCCAATTACGATGAAGGCAGGGGACACCCTGGACAGGTCACCAGTCTATCACAGGGCTACACTTAGAGACAGACAACCAAGCACACTCACATTCACACCTACGGACAATTTAGAATCACCAATTAACCTCAACATGTCTTTGAACCGTGTGGGAGGAAGCCGGAGAACCCGAAGAGAACCCACACTGCACGGGGAGAAAATGCAAACTCCACACAGAAAGATCCCGGGTGTCCTCACCGGGTCATGAACCGGCGACCTTCTTGCGGTGAGGCAACAATGCTAACCACCGCCCCACCTTGCAGCCTGACTTTATTACTCCCCAGAGGGAAATTCAGTTGTTACATCAAACAAAGGAGGTAAACAAAAGCAAAAAGACAACACAGAATATTAGGGAAGGATATAAAATGAAGGTAAAATAAAGTAAAATAAGACAAAAATATGGAAAATATAGAAAGAAAAATCAACAAAATGGACAAGAATATACAAGAGACACAGAAATGTACGAATGACATAAGTAGGTGCAGATAAGTTACTGTTATTTTTTTACATTTTGCACCATTTTTATTTGTTTAACTACAACTTTTAGAGCCCCCCCACCCTCTGACACCTCAGCCGACCTAAGGGTGGCGCTGCAGCGTCTTCTGATCTCCTGGACTCATTTGGGGAGGAGGGGGACAGATGCGTCTCAGCAGCGGTGCGTCGCTCCGATCAGCCCAGGCTTAGACCGGGATCTAATGATCAGATATACAGCGGCCTTTTGAAAAGCATGACTCAGAACAAAATACGGGATGAGTCACGCTAACCGCAGGAAATCAGTGCATGTGTGGATCCACATTTAGCTGCTTTCATAACCTGTTGAACTTTTGCATGGAGCAGATTTTTATTGCGCACCGAAAAAGACAAAAATATCAGTTTTCTTCCCCCCATCTAAATTGTATTGTTTTTTTGTTTTAAATTTAGAGGTATTGTATAAATCCACCCCCCTACACACACACACACACACACACACACACGCACACGCTCACATAACTTTATTTAGTATGTAGTCCAGTGGGCGGGACTGAGAGTGTGGACGCACACTGGCTGCTCAGTTCGCTTCATTCAGCCTTCATGCGTCCGCGGACAGGAGCTGCTTTGATCCCGCTAATGAAGATGTAAAATGTGAGGTGTGTGGGCTGGATCAGGATCTCCTCCTTTCAACAGGCTCAATCCCAAATTCACCGGGAATAATCGTTTGAAGGCAGGCGGCAGCGCAGCTTCATCTCTGGGTAACTTTTTTTTTTTTTTTTTTTGGAATGTAGGACGTCGCTTTTTTTTCTCCAGTTTTTTTTCTCCTCCTCTCCTGTTAAAGCCCACTTTCTCACCACATGCTCCTGTTTGGATCCGTCTGACCCTTATTCTGCAGAATAAGGTGAGTGCGTGTTGTTACTGATGAAGCTCAGCAAACCTGAACGACTGGAACATGACGCGCTCGGTAGGAGCTGATGAAGGAAAACAAGCTCATTTTTTAAAATACTTTCCAATTCCTTCAAGACTTTCCTTGGCTTAACTTGTTTCCCAATAATTAAAAAATATTGCCAAGACAGAAAAAATATATTGTTTTCATATGCGGATGACATTTAGTTTCAGTTTCACATTAGGTCGTTTAGTGCACAGAGGTAATAAATTTGTGCTTCGTCACGTTTTAAATCACTGTTTGTGTTCTTTAATATGTTGGAAAATATATAAAAAAGGCAAGGGTACTCCCATGATATTTTCAGTCACAGATTTAAAATTTTATAGCCTTCCAGAAGAAGCTCATTACTTTTTTTGATGTTTAGTAAACTGACTGATTTCAGTTCAGTTTTAGTCGAAAAGCTGAAAACTTAAGAAGTGATTCAGCAGCTTTGGCATCTAGATTGATCACATCAATCATATATATTTAAAAACACCATCTGGATTGTCATACAGATTTTATTTTTAAGGCTATGAGTAGACCTAGTAAGCAGCATTTACTAAATTATTGACTTTACAGTCTCTGTGTCATTTGAACAGGAGGATTTTTAACCTTTGTGTCGTGTGAAGCTGTGTGACAAGTTTATTGAAGCTCCCAAGAAGTATGTGTCGCTACCTGGAAACCTGCTTTTGGTTTAAGGCATTCACGCGACACATTGTAACACCTGGGAGTTACATTTTTATTGTAGTTTATGAGAGCATAAGTGTGGCTTAAATGTGAAAGCAACAGGACTGCTTGCACTCTGAGTGGACCTTATATGGCCGAGTTTGTTAAGACGGGGTCAGGTTTGAAGATCATCTGAGGCCGAGTCAGTGGCGACTGTGTCACTTTGCTTGGAGCTCCATGTTTGTCGTTGTAAAGGCTCTTTTTTGCATATCGGGCTCAGAAATGCCCTGTTGTCCTGAGTCTCCTTCCACTCATGTCGAGGCTTGAGCCATTTTGCCGGCTTGCTGCGTCAGAGCCTGGGTTGGCCCAGCAGACATGAATAGTGATGAGGATGTGTGCTGACAGCTGAGTGGGACAGGATGGGCTGCTCCATGACTGACTGAACTGGGGTGTTCGCTGCGCCATATGCCCCTTTTTACATCATGCTGCTAAACATTTGGGCCAGCCTCATGACTCATGCTATCTTCCACTCCCTTCAGCTATTTTCTTTTGTATTTATTTATTTATTTTTTACTCCTGTTACTAAACAGGATGATCTGAATTTACATCACGGGCGAGATAAAATGGTGTATCCCTCTTTGGTATAACGTCTACCCCTACGGAAACAGAGGTTAGGGGTTATTCGTGATCCTTTTCTGTGCTGTGACTGCCCACTACTGACTGTGAAAAAAGCCCATTCCTGCCACATGCTTAAGCGGTAAAAAAAAAAAAATCAGAGCTGGGAACTAAACAGTTTTAGAGTGAGCGTGCACCATCTGTGTCAGTGGTGCACTGTCTGTGCAGTATGTTAACCCGCGCTCTCCCTTTTCCTGTGGGTGTTTGACTCTGTGTGTTAACCCAGAAACTCAGGAGAATGGTTTGAGGGTATCAGGTTGTGGAGGTTAACCGTTTACAGTGCTGTTCACCTGATACATGAACTGTAAAGGGATGGGATGTGCACAGAGAAAAGGTGGGGGAATCCAACACGTTGTCCCTCGGCAGTCGTGGCAGGTAGCGCAGATATAAAGTGTTAAGGTTCTAGAAAAATATTGTAGGTCAAACAAGGAGCATTCTATGTCATAACTGTGTGAAAATTTGCCACAAATCTGATTTATTTCATGTGTCATTTATTATCTCATTCTTGGGACTTATTACCCCATTAAGGATGCCACACTTTTAAGATTAACATTAGCTTGCCCCATACTCACTGCTATCATAATCCCTTTGACAGTCAGAGATTTTTCCCCTTTTCAACCTTCTTCTTTGTGACATTTACTTCCTTCAAGTCTTTATTTCTGATCTCCACTGCAGATTTAAGTGCAAAAAATATCAGTTCACAGCAGCGTGTTTTACCTTTAAGAGTAAGCTGAGCGAGAGGCCTTATGTACAGCTCTTTTTCTGAGACATAAATGTGATGATTGCTTCTCATTTTTTCCTTTAGCACCGCTGCTGCGTTTAGATTTGTGCTTCTCTTCGCTGAAACTATGCTGTGGTGAAGGTTAGTTAACTGATGACACACAGCCTCGTCTCTGATGTTACAGAGCATGTTGTGGGGAAAGTAGGTTACTGGGCCATGTCCTGCAAGCTTAAACTGAACGCTAGTCTGAATATTGCCAGAGCTGCTTAGTGTGACTGGGCATGCACAAATGGTGCAGGTCTGTGCAACGGCAATGGGATCATTTCTACCTTCTGTCTCTTTAAGAAAACAGAGCGGCGCTCCACATAGAATGAATGTTGAATGTTCAACCCATGTTGATTCATCTCGAACACACATGAAATGGAGTGAAATCTGACAACAGGTTGGCCAACGTCACATGACTAAGCCCTACTTACCTTAAACATCCGCCGCCTCATCCTTTTTGTGTGCGAGCAGCCCATTGTTGGCTTCTATTGTGTTAATATTCACATTTTAAAGACTGTCTTTGAAGTAGCATACAGCTAAGTGCAATACTGCCTGTAAGGAATCTTAGTTTGTTTCAGTAAAACTGGATTCAGTAGTTGAGTATTATATTAAAACTCTCATGTTACTTCTACACAGACGCCTTTGTACTTGCTTCCTGCTCCCTATAGCGTATATGGATGTTATTCACACCTAACTGTAACAATAGCTTCCCTTGGGAATAACAAACCACATTGTCTGGCATGTTTTATTATCCCACAGTTATGCTTCCTATAGCTTAATTTAAAAAAATAAATGACTCCACATAAAGCTGCAGCTATAAAAAGACCATGTGAAACTTTTATTTATACATGTTCACGCCACAGAGATCAGCCGTCCTGAGCCCAGTAAATACCGACGTCAGAGGCCTGCTAAGTTAGACGGAGAAGCAGCCAAAACAGTAAGAGTAGGTAGTAAAATCTAAAAAGCTGAGAGTGATGACAAACAGGAAGCCTCCTTACATTAGAGAAATGTTTAAACAAATTGTTATTTCCCTCACAATTAGACTCTGCAATGTCCCGTACAAGTTAAGATAAGACGCTTGGTGGCATTTTTATAAACATTATTTAGCGCAAACCGGCAGCTTATGCAAAAAATGGCGGGAAAAAAAGGCGGGAGGCAATGAGTTATATTTCGAGTTCTATTTCAATTTGTGGTGGTCTTCATTGTATTTTTTTTTTTTTTTTAAACCAATATCTTCTTTGCCAGTGTTGCAACTATTTCATCATCACACTTGTCTGGATCTGGAGCCTACATCTGGGCATAAATCCAAGTGCTTAAAGTTACATTAGCCTAAAGATGTTGTTGTTTATGATGCAGTGTTAGTGGAGTTAATGACTTCTCGCTATATTTCATCGTTGCTCAGTGTAAAGTTTTATTGGTAAGCTTTTATGACAGTAGACCTTTAGTTTCTGATGTGGACAAAAAAGATTATAGTCATGTGTAACACTCCTGCTCAGTATTCAGCTCCGTGCCAAAAAATTAGGGTTCAAAGTCAAGTGAAGGGAAGCCAATTTTATGTAGGTTACAAGGTCAGTCAAAACTTTATGAAAGAGTTTTTCTACTATTCTAGCTATTTTCTACATTTTAGAGCAACACCGAAGATGTCAAATCCTTTAAGTAGCACTTTCTAATTCAAACAAAATATGTTTTAAATTTAGATTTGAGGAGGCGGTCACGTTGTTTTCCAGCAGTTTTGCATATCCTGAACACTTGTTGGCTGCTTTTCCTTCACTCTGCGGTCCAACTCATCTCCAAACATGTCGGGTCGGATGATTATGGAGGCAGGGTCATCTGACAGAGCGCTCCATCACTCTCTGCTTTTTGGTCAGTCAGCCCTTACAGACCCTGGAGGTGTGTTTTTTTGTCCCAGTGAAAAGAAAACAATAATCCCGCTAAGTGCAAACTAGATGAGATGGCGTGTTGCTGCAGAATGTTTGGGTAGCCATGTTGGTTAAGTGCTGGCTTGAAATCCACATAAATCATCAAGAAAAGCCCAACACATCATCGCAGCTCCTCCTCTGTGCTTCATGGTGAAAATAGATACCATCCATTTACCTTCTCTGTGTCCAGCACAAACACAGCAGTTGCATCCAGAAATCAAAAGTTTATCAGACTGAAGTTCAGGTTTTCACTGGTCATTCCTTTTGTTTCTTATTCTGATTGGTCTTTCAGTGGTGGTTTTGCTTCAGCGTGAAGGCCTCATTCACGCAGCCTCCTCCCAACAGTTAAGATACGTCTGCTACTTGAACTTTGGGAAGCATTGATGTGGGCTGTAATCTGAGGGACTGTTAATAATTTCTAAGGCTGCTTATTCAAATGGGCTTCTTCTGTGCACCCAAGTTAGCTTATGATCTTCATTTCCTCGACTGGTTTCATTAGAACCAGTTTAATCATGTGCGTTTGATTGTGTTTGAGAATCTTTCAGAGTTGTTTCCAGACTGACTAACCTTCACGTCAGTAACGTTGGAATGTCATTTCTGTTTACTTAGTTGAATCGTTCATGCCATAAATTAGATTGTTGAGTTGCTGAATAAGGCACTACCTTGACTTTACACAAGTAATAGTCTCAAAGGCACATTTTTGCCTTTATTGAAAGAGACAGTAGAGAGAAAGCCAGAAATTCCACCCATTAACTTGACAAGGCGCCCCAAGCACTCCTGGTGACGACCTCATGAAGCTGCATCAGGCAGCTCGTGTGCAAAGCTGCCATCAAGACAGGTAGTGGCTGGTTTGGGGAAATATTTAGCTTTGTTATCTCACTACACAATTCCTTTTGTGTTGTTTGATATTTCTGATGTCTTCAGTCTTGTCCTACAATATAGAAAATGGT